GTTCCCATGATCTAACATATAACTGCAGTCAATGAATATTACGATTCATACCATATTACAACGACTACAGAATCTCTTTCGACTTTCGAGCTGATTGGTTGTCACGCATATCGACAAGCTCGTAACGAATCTTGTTCATTTTTCAGTTCGATGATAAAATAACAATTAGCATGAATCGATTTACTGTACGCCAAGAACTTTGACATGTAATTGATTTTTGTATTGGTTTTTTGAGTCTTCCCATTGATGTTTAAGACTGTAATTGATCAGTATCATATTGGCATATGTCCTGGATTCCACTGCTAGCCACCATCCATTTCAGTTTTTAATACTTCGACACATTTTATATGCTACTGTAGCGTGGGGTCGAGTCGCGTTTGACTATGATCACCAATACAAGATGGGCGCGTGCCAGAAAATCAGAAGACGAAAGGAGATTGTAACGAGATTTATTCGTTGGCGATCTCGTAGTATCGAAAGTATACCGAGATCGTGCCAAAGGGAATACAAGTGGAATCAATGGGCGAACGTGCGAGCGTACAACGGAAGAATAATGGAGGAGTAATGGATGTCCTTAGTACAGTTAAACAAACAAGCACAGTAAGACAATCACTGGTACAATTGGTTAAAATAATGATTGTTTCAATTAAACCAATCGCGTTCTTTTGATAAAAGTAGGTCACTACACTACTAACAAGTAGCTTAACTCTATGTGGTTAATTTACTGGGACGATAGTGGTTGCTTTTTGAGCCATTACGACACTTAGATCTATTTATTTTAACTGAGTAGTTTCTACCAGTTCTATGCTCAACGAAAATTCGAAGAGAAATTATAAATCAAGGCGGTCTTTAAACAAAAACCCTTTCCTAACATAGTTCTGTCATTGGGTGCCATATATTGCTTCCGTTAGATTTATAATTTTGGCTGGGTTATTATAATTGAGATAATAGTTCTGACGTTCAGCTAACTATTATACATATACAGCTGCTGCATGGTCGGAGAGCAGTCATTTAGTCCTTTCTGATCAGTTCGCTTATTATCTTTCTGATCTTGTTTTTACTCAAGAACTCAATTACAGATAAACGGATGATGTTTGCTGCTACTCTGATCCACCACTGGTCTACAATAATCAAGTGTTAAAAGTCATATATTTAGTAAACCATTGTTCATTTTCTAAAAGAGAAGTTAAGATATAACACCGATGAGGCTACATTTCAGCGTCCGACGATTAGGTTCCATAATGAATGACGACGAAATGAAGTATCGACGAAGAATGATCATAAATCTTCCATCTGATTTGTGTACTTTCACTTAAGATCACCTCGATTGAGTGCATACGTAGATAAAAGTTAAATAATAATTAAGTTGGAAGAATAGACTTCAGATATTCTTTTATGAAGACATACAATGGGCAGTGTGAAGTAGAGAAGGCGAACATGTCAACTTAATGATTAATATATGACCCAATCTTTATAAGCTTAAAAAAGATAGACCATAAATACTAGAGTACACACGTGCAAAAGCGTCCTCAAGATTACTTACGAGTAACCGATAAGGAAAAACATATAAATCACAAGAAAGATTAGGATAATTTATCCGTCCAAAAGTTAGAACAAATCACGTGGATTTGTGGCAACGAGTATTTGCTACAACCTACTAATTTGAACGTGTGTGTTTTGATTTATTAAGCAAACATAAATCTAGTCCCATTGAAATCAAGAGTCGATTCAAGTGGGACAACCATTAGAACCTAAAGACACTGAAAAGCCTTTTTGGACTAGTAAAGGACTGACAAAGAAGGCAAAGCATTCACTGAAATTCAAAGTTGAAGGAACAGATGGGTGGAACATATTGAAGAACTCTTGAGTAGACCAGCTCCATTGAATCCAACGGACATCGAAGCACCACATACAGATCTTCCTATAGCTGTCACTCCAACGATAGAAAAAATCAGGATGTCGGTCATCAGACAAATCAAGAGTGGGGAGGCAGCAGGACCTGACGATGTACCAGTTGAAGAACTGAATTCACACAGAGAAGCGAATGCAAACATGCACCATGTTCTATTCAGGAAGATTTATGAGAAGAAACAAGTGCCACAAACAACCTGGAAATAAGGATATTTCATAAAGTTACAAAAGAAAGATTTGAGCTAATGTGAGAACTACACAAACATCACACTACCATCGCTACCAGAAGAAGCTCATAGACGTATTTAAGGTAAGAACCCCTGTCAGACAAGGTTGCATACTTTCCTCCTTTCTCTTTCTTTTGGTTGTTGACTGGATTATGAAAACCTCTACGTCTGACGGGAATCACGGAACACAATAAACAGCTCGCAATCAACTAGAAGGAGTGGGCCTCGCGGACAACCTGGCCCTTCTATCTTACACACACGAACAAGTACGGGTCAAGACAATCAGCGTAGCAGCAACCTCCGCAGACGTAGGCCTCAACATACACAAAAGAAAAACCAAGATCCTCAACTGCAACACGGAAAACACCTACTCAATCACACTTGGTGAAGAAGCTCTGGAACAGATGGAATCTTTGACGCACCTGAAGTGCATCATCGGTGAACAAGGAGGGTTGAATGAAGATGTAAATGCAAGGATTGGCAAAGCAAGGACAGCATTCCTACAGTTGAAAGACATATGAAACTCAAGACAACTGTCTGCAACTCAACATCAAATTCAGAATCTTCAATACGAAAGTCAAGACAGTTCTATTGTACGGAGCTGAAACTTCGAGAACTACTACAACCATCAACAAAAAGGTACAAGTGTTTATAAACAATTTTCTACGCCGGATACTTGATGTCCTTTGGCTAGATACCATAGGCAAAAGCCTATTATGGGAGAGAACAAACCAGCTTGTCGATGGAGAGGAAATTAGGAAGAAACTCTGGAAGTGGATAGAACCCACACTGTGGGAATCAGCAAATTACATCACGAAGCAAGCACTATCTTGGAATCGTGAAGGGAAAAGCAAAGGAGGAAGACCAGGGAACACATTGAGTTTTGAATTCGGAGATAGACATGGAAGGGATGAATGGTCACTGACAGCAACTGGAAGGGATTGCTCCAGGCAAAGTTCGATGGGAGTGCTGGTGATCGGTCTATGCTCCTCCACGAGGAGTAACAGGCCTAAGTGTTTAAATAAGCTACTTCTAACTGTTTGCATTTACGTATGTGACATATTTGATTGACCTCATCAAAAGCTTTTAAGTTAAAATTTCTGACATATTAACAGTTTGGGTTGGTTAGTTTAGAGTTGACCTCACTTCCTTATTTAGTATAGGCATTATATATCCTATTATCTTATATTGATTGTTGAAAAGCTTTGTGTTCTTGAACAGGTAGTTCCATGGTTCCATTGTGACTGCCTCGCGATCTAAATAAAGACCTGTTCACTACTAGTCTGGTTTCTCCTATCAATAGAACGAGGGTTACATATATGCACGAAAAACAAACATTTACCCTGAGATCAATTGTGGTTGTCCATTTGTACTCCACAGCTAGCAGGTTGATTATCCAAGAGTGACTGTGATGTTTCAATGAAATAATGATTCTTTTGTACTTGTTGAATGTTTCGTTTCGAATTCCAAAAACAGTACATTCGTTCGTGGTTATATAGTGCTTCTTGATCCAATTGCGTTATTTCTGGGATTCTTAGCTAGTATTATACTTCAAATACTCCTAATTATCACAGTGACCCTTCCCTGTTGTGGTGAAAAGATGCTTATGGATAGTAAGTGGTGTCTTGAATCATCACATATCAGGAACTTCCTCATATTAGGAAATGCTACTTGCTGGTAGATTGAATATTCACTGCGTCTACCTCCTTTGAAAATTGGTGTAACGCGGACCTGCTTTCATATATTCGGTATCGTGTTTTGACTGAATGAATGTGAAGCAACCACCCTAGGTGGTTTTGTCAAGATTAAAGCGGGTCCTTCAGTATAACAGAATGGACAATATCCAGTCCAGGATGAGTATCCTTGTTTAGGTACTGAAGTTTCTGATACAACAAGTTGGAACTCAGGTTCACTTCTGATGCTCCTGTTGAGCCTGGAGTGAAGCTCTTGTCTGTGCATTTAGTGTGGAATGGTTGAAATGTTTGAAAATACTGTTTTATAAGAGGAAAGGTAGCATAGCCGTCGCTGTTAGCTGTGTCATTATGATCTAGATATTGGGAAACTCCGGTTTTTACTTGTCGAAGAGAGGCTGCATAACGGAATAAGTTTCCCGGATTGGAGATAAATTTATCACTTGGCTTTCTTTGACAATATAGCTTGTCGTCTCTCACTGTCTTTGTGCATTGGTTCCTTGCTTGTTTGAACTGTTTATATGAGCTGTTATCATTAGACTGTTAGTATTGCACTGATTAATAACGTTTGAGTCCAAGCACTCAAAGAGAGGAATTCTTTATGGCTGTACTTTGCCTGTAACTTTTTGGGACCGGTTTCGGTACATACTGTTTTGTAGTATATACTATTGGTTGCGGTAAGATATCACACTGGGGCGTCCATATCAAGCTGAGGGTGAGCTTCTCAATTCACCTGCTACAAACTGACCTGTAAATCTGACTCACCGAACCGTTTAAAATTCTAAATACTCTTGATAGTCAGGTGTTTTATCTGAGTTTTGTTGATAAAGTTGAAGTCTCTGATGTCTCGATCACGGGAGCCAGGATTGAGAGGATGGCAGTTTAGAATTCTTCGTCAAACAAAAGTGATAGAATATCAATGTTAGAAACCTGAAAAATTTATCAAGAAATCGCATGCTGAACATAGTTTTCACAATGATTGCCTATTTTTTTAATGTCGACAAATGTAGTGTATAGATTATTCGAAGTGTCCAAAATTGTTGTATGAGGTCGATAAAACTATATGTAAACTTTGAAAATAAGGACAAATTTTTTGATTAAAAATGCAACATAGTGCTTTTTGTCAAAGTGAGTTATTACTAAATTCTTTTAATAAATCAGATTTGTCGAAAATATTTGTTAGCGCGTCAACTGATTTCAGGGTCATGGTTCTAAAGTTACTTTGACATTTACTTGGCGCATTAATGTCTCAAACACTGGGTAAATACCATATTCATACCATTATTGTGATGAGAAAATTTTCTTGAGATCTATCGTTGAAAAACTAGGACCCAATTGACATACTAGGTTTAATATCATGTGAGATTATAAATTTTGATTCAGTTATATAGAAATGTGGCATGTCACGTTTCCCGTTTGGTAAATAAACCTTTCATCTTTTCAGCTCGCAACGTCTTGAATAGCTTTCGTGTTCAAACCCAAATCCTCTCTATTTTACTACGGTAACACACAGTTTTATTCCTTAAAATACGCTATATTTGAACATTGAGCTTACTAGTGGATAGTAGAAATTGGAAGCTGAATAAATTAGTGAGTAACAGCTTTTTGCAATTGTGATACAAACAATGTAAATCAAGTAAATATTTAGGTTAGAATATTAGAAAGATTTTTTAGACTAATATAAATATCAGTTTATTCAGCTATCTATATATATAATCCATTTCAGTTCATGTTAGACAAAGCAATATTCAATCACAGCACACAAAATACATGAACTTAACTGTTTGAAAAATCACAGTTTCAGGTAAAATTTGCACGAATATGTAAAACCGTATGTCTAAATTTCATTTAGGATCATTAGATTGGGGTCTCTTGTAACATTAGTAACAGTAAACAATATAAAAGCAGTTCAACAAATAAAGCTTCTATGACATTTTTTTAATCAAAACTGTGCGGATTTACTTATAGTTTTTTGCACATAGTGGTCTATAGTGAGATATAAAGTTGTTACATCATTGACAAAGGCACCATATGTTAGTCATAAACTTCAAGTATCGAATAAATCTTGAGGAAACGTTTTCTCGCCGAACTGTTCTTGTTTTGCTTAATGACTCAACGAGTTACTTTCGTTGTTTTAAAATCAGTCAAAAGGTATAGTGTATTTTGTATACCACTGACTGTGAATAAATTGAGCATCTAAATTTATTTAACTGGTCCATATAATTGATCAAACTAACCTTAAATTACTAATAATTATCACTTGTATATTTTATTGGAGTGCAAGTTCCTTCAGAACAGATTTTTTAAAACAGCTAAAACTTAGATTTAACTTGCACAAACTATACTTTGATTCTTCGTTACTCAAATGATAGATGCGAAGTCCATCATTTAAGACCAAACGTGATCTGGGTTCCTTCTTACTTCATGTGTTACTGTTGTAACGAACAGTCGAATATCTCCCCAAAACTGATCACTTAGAATTAATTTTCGTCATAATACATTTACAATTTTAGTTAATCTTGGAATCTTATATGGATTGAATGGACAAACAAAAATATTCTAATTCTAGTTACGTAATAATAAAATCTATATGAAGCTTTATTAGATTTCCTTTTATTTTTCTTTTCTAGACTTTTCAAGTGTGTTCTGATTACCCATTGTTTCTTATGAAACAAACTTCTTTGTTACGATCTTGGACAAATTTAATCCCCTCACATCCTATTATTAGTGATAGTCATGCCAGTACTGTAAACTCATCCTCTAAGACACTTAAATCTGTGGATTCCGACGATATTTTCGTGGCTAATATTCTTGACAAATTTAATAATGTTCCAGAGTCTAACACTAATTCAAACGAAAACGAAGTCTGTGAAAATGCACAGATTATCGTCGATGTTTCGGAAAGAAAACCTGTCGTATATCATCCTACAGCTAATGACTCAGAACATTTGGAAGGTTTCGATGTAGATGCTGGAGTTGAGTGGATTTATCCAAGTGATTTAAGCATACGCAAATACCAGTTAAATATAATTGAACAATGTCTATATAAAAATACACTTGTCTGCCTGCCTACAGGACTGGGCAAAACATTTATTGCTGCCGTTGTTTTATATAATTTCTTCCGTTGGTATCCAACGGGTAGATTTGTGTTTATGGCGCCAACTCGACCTCTTGTAACACAGCAACTTACTTCGTGTTCGGAATTTATTGGGCCACTTAAAGAAAATATCGCTGAGGTGACTGGATCGATTGCACAAACTAAAAGAAAAACTATCTGGTCCACATATCAAGTGTTATTTCTTACTCCTCAAGTGCTAATGAATGATTTGCAGACTGGTGTATGTCCTGCCAGTTCTATCCGTTTGCTCATATTTGATGAAGCACACAAGGCAACAGGAAATCATGCTTACTGTCAAGTATGTCTGTTATTTGTTTCGTCCGATATTGCTGGATTAAAAGTTTCTAATTAAGCATATTATTATTAACGTTAGGAGAACTAATAGATGATGTCGTATTCCACTGTAAGTTCTACATATCCTTCCAGTCTGATGACTGTAGTAGACATTGATGACTAGATGTTTGCTATTTGGTATGTCATTTTTGATTATGAATTATTTTGCATACTATGATCAGTAAAAGTGAATGTAGGCTACCCTAGCTAAGGTCGTTAAGAATTCTTCACCCCTTTTTCTTCTACTTTCTTAACTCTTGTTTATTTTAATATCCTTGCACTTCTGATTTTTTATTCCTGTGTTGGGACGTATAGCAATTCAAATGGATACTCTTTTATTTGAAGTTCTGTATAGTCCCTTCTTTCTATTATACACGAAGTCACGCCTGTCATTTTATTTTACCAACACGGTCTGTACTAATTGTTACAACAAAGTAACAACTTAATTTAGCTATAACTAGAAAAATAAGATATCCTCAAATTCCTGTCAGTCTTCATTCACTGACCTATTCACATCTAAATGTACTAAAACATCCTAATTTAATATAACTACATGTTTTTCAGGTATTCATTTATCGATCCGTTAGTTTGACTGAATATTTAAATCATGAACTTATAAGCGTTTTAAGGTGTTTCATTATTGTTTCCAAAAGTATTTAAATGATGGCGTTAAAAGTGTTACATCCGGAGCAAGAATAAGTGAATGGTAACAGTCAGAATCTATTTACGAACCTTTATGATATATATTCTTATTTTATAACCATTAAGTAACCATATTAAATGTATATTCACATTCCTTTTATTGTAAGCTTCTATTCGATCTATTGACTACTATTATACGATTTGCTATTCTTAAGTTATGCCCGATTTATTAGTTACAATACCTCACAATCACAGTCACTTTTGGCTTGATCTTGTATAATTATTATTTTCTGTTTTAAGGCATGATGCTGTCTGATTTGCTTGTACATAAACTATGTACATCTAAAATGCATGATTCATATAGCCGAGGTTTATATTGGTGTTCTAGACTGAACCGGCTGGCGAGAAGCTACTATATCGGGGGACCAATAAGGTTTCCATTATACGTGACTTTGATGTAATCCCAGGATAATTCTAAAGTCTTTCATCATGCATATTGTCAAAATGAACAGTTTCTTGGGATATAATTTTAATTTCATGTATTCCCCCAATTAACTTCATTATTTGGTGAATAACAACTAATTACTAATGTGAATGAAAAAGACGATAACTTAACAGTTTATAAAATACCATTTTAATATACTACGGAAAATGATGTAATGGTTCATTTAACGGACTAAAGACAAGTAGTATGTTGTTAGATTAGCCACATTAAATCAAGCCTAAATAGATTGTCAGGCATATTCTATTTTATTTAGATTGTCTATCCGTAAAATCGTTAATGGGGCATTTTAGAGTAGTTCGAAGGCTCTGTACACGATGCCACAAACAGGGAAAAAGCATAAAACTACCTCTATTGTCCTGATGTAACAAAGGTGTTTCCATATTCCACAATTCCTCTTCGATTTTATCACAGTATGAATTATGGGAACGTCACTGAAGGAAGTATGCGGATGGCGTTGCCTCAATTTGCGATGACACACAGGCTATCCTGATCACCCTCCACAGAGTGGCATTGATGCTCGTAAATGCTGTTTGGTGGTAGTCTTGGTATAAGACGTCAAGTGTGCAACTCCTCATTAAAGCTATTTTTGAATCATGCATGTAAAGTCTGATCTCTCTGAGAGGAGAAAGCTTGATGACTCTGTCTAGCCATCATTATCACAAACTAATTGCTCACTTACAATAGTAATACCGTGTTAGTAATCCCGATGTTCAGAAATGTACTTTCAGTCACACTGAAAATAATCCAGTTGATATCACCATTTCGAAACATCAAAATTAGTTATACGTATGTTGTGTCATCGGCTTTCACACCGTGTATTAATTACTGGCACTGGTGGTAAGAGTGAAAGTGGTGGTCAATGTACGACATGAGATGATGATATATAAGATAGTTCTGTTTGGGGTTGTCATCTGCCGGTCAATCACTTCGTGATTGAGGTCATACCCATCTCGTCACTCAGCAACTTAAGACGTAACCAAACACAAATCAGAATAAAGGCCAGCGGCAATCCTGTTGCAGTTTTATCGCATTCTTCATTAAAGTAAATTGGGTCCTCTTAACCGAAAATATTTCCCTTGGTTTTATTTTTAACTGGCCTGTGTCTTTCATCAAATAACTATCTTTGTCCACTTGTTTGTTGATTATACAACTACTACCTCTTCTATTTTTTACTAACAATGTCGTTTCATGTGTGGCTCACTTTTGGGAACCGTGTCGCCTTACACTGAAAATAAGATTTGTTAGCATCCAATCATTTGTTGTCATATTCTCCACTGTAGTATTTTGACATGAAAGTGATTTGAACTGTTTTCATTGTGATCGGATATTTTACATTTTGTTTGTTTCTATATCTTCAGCGGTGATGTAGTAGTGTTGATAAGAAAATTATCAGTTCAGTAACCATTTCTTTACAATTTGATGAAATGTCTAGGCCTCAGATAAAGCGTTTGTTTTAACGAAAGGTTACTTAAGTGTACATAAATGTGAAGCTTTGTGTTGGTAATCATAACGTTACTCAAAAGTAATTCAACTATCTACTGTTTATCGCGAACAATTGCTGCAAAACATCTATCATTAACTGTCTATCAATTTTTAAAGTCACTTTTTGGGACGAAGACTGAATGAAATTAAGATGAATTTTCGAATTCAATGCTGTTTCATGTTCGTTTATCCTCAGTTTATATTTTCTCGGTGTATCAGATAGTTTTTTCTAAATATATTAATCTGAACATTTGTATTTTATGTATTCTAATTTTTCTTCACAAAATAGGTATTACGAATTCTGACTAATCCACCGTACACTCATCGACAATTTCGGATTGTTGCTTTGTCCGCCACACCTGCAGCTGATATTGAAGGGGTACAAACACTGATTGCAAACTTACTTATATCCCACCTTGAACTTCGAACTGATACTAGTGCTGACGTCCGACCATACACACAACATCGGGAGCTAGAAGCAGTAGTTGTTCCTCTTGGTCCGGAACTGACACGGTATCGTAATCAATTAATTGAGTGTATTCGTGTGCCCCTCGATAGACTTTACCAACGTCGTGCACTCTCAGAGTGTTATGGTGATCTTCGTCCAGAAAAAATAGCGAAATACACAGTTATTAAAGCACGAGAAAAATGGTCTTCGCAAACGTTTCCTAGTATTAATTCAACAGAAAATAGTTCAATTCAATGTGACTTCGCCTTAGTTATATGTTTGCTTCATGGCTTGGAACTGTTGGTTCAACATGGGTTACGTCCCCTCTATCGCTACTTAGAGGGTGTTTATTCTGGAAATCGAGCTAGTCCATTGGTTAGGAGTCAGCTTAACAGACTTCCAAATATGAATCATTTATGGATAGAATTAGCTCAGCGATTCGGCATGAATGTAGAATGCACTGACGGTACTTGGAGGCAAGAGTTAATTCATCCAGATCTATTGCATTCCCAAGCACCTTTTTTGGCTGGTCATCCCAAACTTGATAAACTAAGAGATGTTTTGCTTAGTCATTTTAATTTTGAAGACAGAAAAAACGCGCATGAACGAAGCTCCACACGCGTTATAGTTTTCACGCAGTTTCGTGACTCGGTTGAAGAAATTATGCATATGCTTAAACCATTAAGACCACTAATTAGACCTGCATCATTTATTGGACAAGGAACAAGAGTAAGTGGAAGTCCTCAATTAAATAATCAACATGAGTCACCCAGCTTGAAAAGCCCGCGACTGTCAAATGCCCAGGGTGGAATATCACAACGTGACCAGATACGTGTTATGGATGGTTTTCGGTCAGGTGTTTATAACACCCTAGTGTCAACGTGTGTCGGTGAAGAGGGTATTGATGTTGGACAAGTTGATCTAATAGTTTGCTTTGATGCTTCAAAATCACCAATTCAACTAATGCAACGTCAAGGTCGGACTGGTCGCAAGCGTCTGGGACGTATTGTCGTGCTGTTAACAGAAGGTCGTGAGGAAAGGAATCATGCCGTTAGTATCGCAAGGACTTCTTCTGTTCACAAAGCTTTGCTTGAGGGGAACGCTTATTGTAAACTTGCTTTCTATCCACATAATCCAAGAATGGTACCAATTGGTGTTCATCCTAAACTCCAGTTCAAATGTTTACGAACAGAGAAATTTTTTACCAACCAAATATCGGGACAAAAGCAGCCAGGTGTTCAGAAGAAGAGTTCGTATGAAGACATCTACAGATTGCATGCGGAGTCTGTTAAACTGGATAGGCTGCATATTAGGTTATACCCCCTTTCCTTAGGTCGAATTCAACATATATCAAAATTTGATGATGTGGATAATTTTAATTCAGACCACCCAACAGTCACAGACATTTACAATCTTACATCTCAAGAAAGATTAGCAGTCTTCAGAGAAACTATGCAATCTAGTCTAATTCCAGGATCAAATGTTGGTTCATCCTCTTCGTCGCAACACCTCATGTCAATCCTCCGGCTAGTTGAAATGCATCGTCGTAGTATGACACAACTTTCTTACCATGCTCTGGGTATACGAAAAATTGATATTAATACAAAAATGAGTGAATTATTAAAAATAAGTTCTTCACCACCCAATAGCCAGTTAGATTTGCACAGCTCTTCACAATGTCATCATGATCTTGATGAATTGACTACCATCAAGACTACCAATACTCTGCCAGCTTCAGAGATATCCAACCCGGTATTAGATATTATCCAAGATCTTAGAATAGTTAAAGGTTTAGTGTCTAACAAAGTATTTTTTGACCCTCATGTTAATGAACTAACAGACTGCACAAAACATTTCACTCAAATACTTCATAATATTAACGCTAATAGCCATGAGCCTATTACAGTGGCATCCCTACAAACTGCACTAAATAAGTGGTTAGAGTTCATGACTAATCGAAATCACAGTTCACCTACAATTTGTTCAAGCCCAAAGTTGAATCTTAAGCTAAGTATAGAAAATAGTTTACTTGAAGCAATTAATGCAGAACTACCGAATTCTGAGGAAAACTCTCTAACCACGAAGGGCCTTCACACAATCGATAGTAAATTTCACGATAAGCAGCTAAAAGATATTGTACAAACTTTCAGCCTACCTAATACAGTGATTAGCTTAGCTCAAAGCACTCCTTTTGGACGAAGTTGTGTAAAGCCACCTATAATTTCTTCATCTAGTCAAGTTAATCCTGATCAAGCGTTGGCTTTACTGGAGAATTCAACTATTCACCTGGATGCATCAACTTTATTAGATGGAGAACTAACGAATCCTGAGCTTCCTACTACTGCCCAAAGTGTTATTTTTGCTGGCTCATCATTTCAGCAGTTGAGCGGTTTCCACAAATCAGTCGACCTTTTTACTTTTGAAACAAAACTCTCTTTAGGGACAGAGCTGGGTGATATTATTAAGCCTACCCAAACCACTGAAAAAATGGACACTTGTAGTGATGTGGACAGATTAAAAAACGGTTATTTCTCTACTGCTTCCAACAGTTCTTTTGACTCACAAATTAATTGGTCCCCAGTAGAACAGGTAACAGAGGTACTTAATACAGATGATTTATTATATTCGTCGTCACCAATAAAACTAAACAACATTGGAACCGTTCCTAAAAATGAATCCAAAAACAACAACTCTAGTGAAACTACTGACAAAGAATTATCGGTAACATTTCACGAAAGTGTCAGCGAGTTTACATTATCGAACCGATTGAACAAAAATACTAAATACGCTGGATCTAAATTGTTTTTATCACAGGCTGAGTGTACGAGTAATGAGTCATCTGACCAGCTTCATTCTGAAGATCAAGATATGTATGATGACAGCTTCATAAACGACGAATGCGCGAATATCACGTGCGATTCATCTCGATCTGACATGAAAATTTACCTCCAGAGCATTCGGAGTCCACAAATATTTCCAGGTAATGTCAGAAACCTAAGGATCAGCAAAAGAGACATTTTGCCGAAAATATCTGAGAAGTGTGATGATATGCCAAATTCCTTTATATTTTCGCAGGTTAGTTCGTATGTTACACGCCATTTCAATGATATAGTTTTGTACTTAGTCATATTCCTATGAATCTACGATAATACCTCAGTAATAATATGGTATTAATAGTGCTCTTAGAAGACCGAATCTTATTTGGTATTTATGAGAGTTTTATGTATAGCGATAAAATTAGTTTAAATTTCAGATTCTTTTATACTAGTGATCACGGAAACGTATTGCAGTCTTGTGGACTAGACAGTGCTGCTTGCTTGCTTCCGTTTGTACACTTAAAGTACCAAACAAATTACGAGTGCTAATCGAGCTTGCTATAAACGATGACATCTCCAAATAGATATACTTCGCCGTCATTCTAAACCTTGCTACTTGCATATGTTGTATCTAAAACAATCAGTACCATAAGGAAATTCTCGAACTGTCAGTTACAGAGCGTTTCATGATTGCTTACGTCTGACGACGCTAATGGAACCAGGCCTTTTAGTGCCACTCAGAATTCACAAGCAAGATTATATTACTCGATTCCAGCTACTAAGTTGTCTCTAAACAACTGCGTAATTAGGTTGAGTTAAAGTTGTCTATTCTCTTTTGGCTATTAATTCGAACGAACGCTAACAGATTAGTTATACAACTAATCACACCTCAGGTATTGTAGTTCAACATACAAAAACACCTGTGTGTAATTGAGAGCACAGATATTTACGACAGCCGCGTAACAGGACGTATGAGTAATTACCAGTTGTGGATCGAAAAATATGGACAACATGTAGCTTTGCCCTGTTCACAAGCTTCCATCTGTTTTTACCAATTTGGAACCAGAATTTTTTCAATTATTTGGATTCGTTTGATTTCGGGCAATCCATTTTGTCTCATTTAACAGACGTGATTCCCAGTTGGTTTTCATTTTTAGGAATTTAACAGGAATGAATAGACCCGTTGACATGGAGAACGGCAATATGTATTTGATATCCGGAAAGTTTCAAACTTATGACTTAATCGATTCTGATTAGTAAATTGTATGGTAACACTTAGTGATGCTTATTGTAACTCTTAATACTATGTATATGCAATTTGTTATTGCGTTTAGTGTGCAAAAAACGTTTACATAAGTCATTTAACCTTTGTTGTAGACACCAGAACAGGATGAATATCAGATGGATAGTTTTTGTGTAGACGATGATGACTCTTTTTCGTTGCACAAAGAAACTCCCAAACCCTTAGCTTCCAAGCCAAGCAGAAGACGTATTCGAACTGGTACTCAGATTCAACAATCTTTCTTTTAATTGTATATAAACACTAGATTTCCATGAAAAATTATTTCAAATATACTATATTCGATATTTTCAGATCTACAAACTAGGTCTTTCATGTAAATAAGTGTTAGACAGGACTAGGATAAAATATGGAGCGTTGTATACATTTGGTAGACTATATCAATGCGCTTGCTTCAATGATTCCGGCATAGATGGAGGTGGGGGACGCGGCAACTGCATAGCTACTTTAAAGCCATCATAAATGAACCATTGTAAGGCTGTTAATGTTCCAATCATGATTATACGAGGACCCAATCCGCTCCACATACCTTAATTAAAAATTAAAAAAGATTGTTAAATACATATCTAGGAGCTCTACTTTAAGTTAAATAGATTGTGTGGTGATTAATGGTATTACTGAGGTCTCCAGACCAAGGTAAACGAAATGGAATCCCGATTAGCAAAACAACTATTAAGAGTAGATGATCGACAATACTCAATCCTTAAATCTTATATATCTTGTTAAAGTTAGTGCTTAGATTTTAAGGTAAGAGGGAGCACATGATTGATATTATCTCGGATATAAACAACACGGGTCTATTTAACAGATAAGCTACTTTATGGAACAGCAATGAATTGGTGATTCGAATAGTAGACTGACAGAATTTAGAAGACTAAAGTAAAGTAATATTTGTGAGTGGTAACACAATGAGTTTTGGTTCTTCTGTAAGTTGTTTTATGTAAAAATGAATTCCTTCAAATTTTAGTGATGGCATCTGGTTTTTACTGATGTAAGGCCAATAGTTGAACCTCAAGTACTTTAAAACGCTAGCTTGACGGTCCGGACGATGCGTCAGTAACAACGTAGGACTTTGTACGCACATATATCAGTTCGAATTGCAATACAACATTAGCAGTTGTCAATTCAAATCCCGTAGAGGTAGTGAAAGTATAAGCAGTAATCGGAAACATTATGGTTGAAGATGTTATTCAAAGAGCATAATACAGTGAAATAAATTTGGAAAGAGAAAAAAATGACATGAAGAATTTAGAAGATTAGAATTTGAGAGAACACAAAGAGCGGATGCACCTGCGCCATTGCAAACGATTTTGAGCCATGTCATTCAGGGTCTCTAACCATCGGTTGCTATCATTTCGCGGTCCCCAACCAGGTAGTCTACACCTATCAACATGACTCAGTCTACTTGTCAGTGGACTTGTTCCATGTTTTTGTCTGGTCGCCCCTAGCTTTCTTCCAATCTACTCCTATACCACTGAACATCGCACATCGAGGCAGTCGGTCGTTGGGCATACGTAACACGTGTCCCAGCCATCTCAACTGATGAAGTTTCACTACGTCATCAATTGATTTGCCATCCTTACCTAGTACTCGTTTCCTAACAACTGCATTACTTACTCGATGGTCCCAGGATATACGAGCAATGTTTCGAAGACACCTATGATCAAATACTAGTAACCTACGAATATCCTCTACTCTTATCGGCCATGTTTCACTGCCATAAAGTAGGACGGAACGAACTGCTGCGCAGTTAACACGTCATTTGGTTGATAGACGGATATCTCGCCTACGCCATAAATGACGCAAGTTGGTAAAAGCTAGTCGAGCCTTCTGTATCCGTGCTGAGATTTCGTCACACACCAGACCACAAGGGCTGATGAGACTTCCAAGATAAGTGAAGAAGTTGACACACTCAATTACTTCACTCCCTATCATTAGTTCGGGTGTCGATGCAACCCAATCCTGAAGCAACATTTTGCATTTCGAGGGGGAGAATCGCATCCCGAACATGCTAGCACTGTTGCTTAGAGTGGTCAGAAGACTCTGCATTTTGTCAGCGTCTTCACCAAATTGAACTATGTCATCAGCATATTCTAAGTCAACAAATGAATCTCCCGGTAGAAGTTCAACTCCTGGAGATTTAGATGAGGAGAGTGTTATCTCTAAAAGTACGTCGACCACAAAGTTGAACAAGAATGGCGAGAGTAGACAGTCCTGACGAACACCATTTGAGGTAATCAATTCTGATGACAGTTCGCCATAAGCTCTCACTCTACCAGGTGTGTTCGAGTAGAGAGCCTTTATAAGGTTAATGTACTTCTTCGGTACTCCTTTCAGTGACACTGCCATAGAACCTTACGATCAACAGAGTCGAATGCCGCCTTAAGGTCGAGAAATACTACCATTGTGGGGCGTCTGAATTTGTGTCTGTGTTCCAGAACCTGACGTAGTGTGAATATCTGATCTATACAACCGCGTCTAGGTCGAAAATCAGCCTGGTTTTCTCTAGTCTGTTATTCACGAGCTTTAGTTAGGCGTCTAAGTATTATTGAAGTTAATATTTTAGACACTATATTTGTCAGACTGATTCCTCTATGATCGTCACAAGAGAACTTTTGTCCTTTCTTATAAACTGGCATAATCAGTGATTGAGGCCAGTCAGATGGGATTATGTTTAGTTCCCAGATTCTACCTAAGACCTCAGTTAATCTCACTGCTAATACTGAACCATCATCCTTAAAAATCGCAGGAGTAAATCTGTCAGGGCCTGCTGCTCTCCCTCGCTTCAGATTTCCTATGGCTTTTTCAACTTCTTAAAGAGACGTAGGTCCTACATTAACTTGCCATTCAGGTTGACCGGAGATCATGGGAAACCGAAGTGTGGCTGAAGGCCAGTTGAACTGATCCCTAAAATGTTCTGCCTATCGATCCAATCTTCTGGATTGAGAATGAATAATATGTCCATCTTTATGCTTTATGTATACCATTTTAGGCAACCTTAAAAATGAATACCCTTTGAAAAAGCGGCTTGAGACCGAGTATATACCTAGATAATCGTTAAGCATGTTAATTTATGTTCGAAAAGACCGCCAGACACATGGAAGGAACTAAAATAATAGGATCTGATTCCCTTCTTCTGCAATTCATGATCACAGTCAAGAACTACCAGTTGAAGTATGGAAATAACCTTTTTAGTGTAGTCTTAATCATTTTGTCATATGAAAGGACAAAAACATTAATTCGATCAAAGTGATTTCTAAGATCTTTGGGTATAGTCATTCAAGATGTGTTAGTATGATACTTTATCGGAATAATGGATGAAAATAGTTTATTTATGCTTAGTTTACACGAACAAAATCGACTTGCAGACAGAAGAGGTTATGTTATGGGAATCAAAATGTCTTTAACTCCTTAACAGTCGAAGTGTGTTGTACTTACATAAACTAGTCAGGATATGCGAAAACAGAACATGATAATCATCTGTGGTCGTTATTTATGTTTAAAAAATAATCCAACTGATTAAATCACCACAAACGACGTTGGCTTTCTTTAAAGTTATATATCGTTCCATCTTTAGTCACGGTACTGGTTCACAATCGATACGGTCTCGTGACTTACTGCTATAAGCCTAATTTATATGTTCTTTGTTCGTTGCCTTAAACACTAATAAGTAAGCAGGCCCATGTTCCATAACATTTTTACTGCAGTACTATCAATCATATATTTGAGAAACCAAGTGCTGAAATTAAGCTCTAACTGTTTAAAAGTTTCGTACAGACTCTAGTTTGCGGGAAATATTCTTTTAGATAAACCAACTTATAGACTCAATATAGTTTGATAGTAAACCCCTTTTTAGCGTTTGATAAATCTGAGTGCCATGAACATATATGTCTAAAAGGCATCTCAAACTTCATCTGTTGAGATGGCTGGGACACGTGTTACGTATGCCCAACGACCGACTGCCTCGACGTGCGATGTTCAGTGGTATAGGAGTAGATTGGAAGAAAGCTAGGGGCGACCAAACCAAAACACGGCACAAGTCCATGAAGTCACTGACAAGTGGTCTGAGTCATGTTGATAGGTGTAGACTACCTGGTTGGGGACCGCGAAATGATAGCAACCGATGGTTAGAGACCCTGAATGACATGGCTCAAAATCGTTTGCAATAGCGCAGGTGCATCCACTCTTTGTGTTCTCCCAAATTCTAATCTTCTGAATTCTTCATGTCATTTTTTCCTCTTTCCAAATTTATTTCACTGTATTATACTCTTTAAATAACATCTCCAAACCCTAATCTTCCCGATCACTGCTTACACTCTTGCTACCTCTACCACTACGGGATTTGAATCGATAACTGCATCTCTGTGTTAAGGTGGTGTGGCAACTCGGACTGATGTACGTACGTACGAAGTTCTATGTTGTTACTGACTGACTGAAAAGGCATTGGGAAGGTTGATGGGGTCACTGAGTGTACAATGCTCAGGGTTTTAGGAAAATATGGTAATTTAGTTAATGAGATTGTTATTCTCCAACTGAAGTGGCTGGGACATGTATTATGCATATGCAAAAACCCTTGACACGCAGTGTTGTCTGCCATAAGAAAAGGTTAGTAGAAGGATAGGAAGAGTCAGATCGAAACGTGGCATCGGTCTGTGAAGTCAGTGGCTGTTGGATTGAACAGTGTTAGTAAGTAAAAACTATCAAGTTGGAGTCAGTGAGACGATAAACAATAGTTGGAGACTATTTGATATGGCCCAAAATCGATCGCACTAACACAGATACATTCATTTTGTCTAACACCGGATATAATTTCAAAAGTATTTCTTAAGTTTTATTCTTCTCACATTATGTCACGTGACTAATCATTTTTAGAACCACAGATATCATTACTGCATTTGTGTTTAACTTGATACTCTTTTCTCCATATGGTTTAAACAATACGCAGTAGCGTGTGCAAGCAAATAAAGCATTCAATGGCAGAAAGTGCTTGGAAAGAATGTTTCATTTTGCGCACAGTGACTCAGTGAGACCAGCATTCCAGTTACACTTTAAGGAGTGCGCGATCGCAAAAGATATGTGACGGCTAGCTTAGTAATGCCACCTACACAATGATGTGCCGGTAGAAAATCCGTCTACTGGCAGGTTCCTTCCAAGCAGAAACTACCTGGGAAGAATGTTTCATTTTGCGCACAGTAACTCAGTGAGACCAGCATTCCAGTTACACCTTAAGGAGTGCGCGATCACAAAAGATATGTGACGGCTAGCTTAGTAATGCCACCTACACAATGATGTGCCGGTAGAAAATCCGTCTACTGGCAGGTTCCTTCCAAGCAGAAACTACCTGGGAAGAATGTTTCATTTTGCGCACAGTGACTCAGTGAGACCAGCATTCCAGTTACACTTTAAGGAGTGCGCGATCACAAAAGATATGTGACGGCTAGCTTAGTAATGCCACCTACACAATGATGTGCCGGTAGAAAATCCGTCTACTGGCAGGTTCCTCCCAAGCAGAAACTACCTGGGAAGAAT